GATAAGGACAATGATTGTTTTAAATTGTTCGTAAGAAATTTGGATTTTGGTTCGCTATGTAGCAAGCCCCAAGCTGACAGGGTTTCTAACATAGCTTGGGCAAAAGATGGACAGGCATTACTCTATGTAGTTACAGATGACAATAAGAGGCCTTTTAGGTTGATATTGCTGGTTTTGCTGAAATAACTGTATTTTATTATGGTCCCATTTGTTTCCCATTCTTTGACCAAAAAAATGAAAAATATGACCGTTATTCATCAAATTAAGCCACTATATTTGACTTTCTCTCTCTTGTGTGGTCCCATAACGACTGTATTTTTCATTCTCATTTTTATAAGAATGGGAATCAAACAAGGGCTATTGGATACCTGGAGACGAAATTGATGTTTGGTTGTTTTCAGGTTATATTGTAGCATGCTTGGATCTAATGGAGAAGATGTGTTGCTTTTAGAGGAACCTCGAGAGAATATTTATCTGAGTATAAGACATACTAAAGATTTTAGGTTTTTGACTCTGAATACATTTTCAACCACATCATCCAAGGTATTTTCTATAGAAATATTTTGGATACTCTTTCATTGTTTGCTACTGAACTGTTGTTTTATATTCGTGACTCTTTTAGGTCTTTCTAATAAATTCAGCTGATCCTTTGTCTGGGATGACACTGATTTGGGAGTGTGAGGCACAAGCCCACTGCATTATTGAGCATCATCAAGGGTATCTTTACCTTTTCACAGATGCTGCAAAGCAGGGTCAGCCTGTTGACCACCATTATCTCCTACGTAGTCCTTCTGCATGTTCACACAGTCCAAGGAAGTGGGAGGTTAGCATATTTTTGCTGTTAATTAGGTATGCTGATAGGCCCCTTTCCGGAGATGCAGAGTTGAACATTGAATTGTAATTATTTGTGACCGAGAAAAGATAAAGAGGCAGAAAATTTATTTGAATGTGAAATGTATTGTTGTAGCTGATTGTACTGTTTATGCAATTACAAATAAGAGATGAAGAGATGTACAAATGTCCCAGGCACTTGAGAGGCCTGTGAACTCACCACAAAAATAACACACACACACACAATCTGGGTGAATGAGTAAAACTTCCTCCCTATTTATAGTTAGCTGGTGCCTCATTTATTCTGGAAACTTCTCCCGCTCTTACAAACTATCCAATTGATAGAATATAAAGTCAGATACAAGTTCTCAAGTAACTCCCATGCTTCATGAACTCCTTTATTTGAATTTATATCCTAACAAACTAACCGATCATGATAGGATATTAATTCAGGAAACTTATCATCCTCTAACAAATTAATCAATTGATAAATTTGACCCTCCTGCTGCATGAACATGTTTGTTTTCCCATGTGAAATAGTTGCTTGAGCTTCCCATCAGCCCCTTTTGTCTGTTCTTCCCTTTTTTCCCTTCTAGCATAAGTAAATAGGATTGGTGGCATATCATATACATGCATGTCTTAATTATAATGAATCTTATGTAGGTTTTACAGTCAACCCTCATCTTTTTACTTGATCTTTTGCAGAGTGTTTTTGTTGATGACCAAGAGTTAATTATTGAAGATGTTGATTTTTGTGACTCGTATTTGGTACTCATTGTAAGGGAAGGTAGAAAATACAGGCTTTGTTCGGTTTCTTTACCTTTATCCACTGCCAAGGTAATTTTATTTTTTGACTTATTAAAATCATTGCAATTCCTCTATTTGTGTTATTGGCCGTTACTACTTTATCTTGTGTCCATTCATGTTGTTCTTACTAGATATTTAATACTTTTCATATTTACTACTGTTTCTCTGCCATATAATTGACTGTTCAGTTATCTATAGAAAATCCTTCATGTAGGATAATTATGGATATCATTTACAAAAAAAATTGATGCAAGTCTGTACTTGTACAGTCTGGCATTATGTTTTTCACATGCAGTCGCTCTTTATAATTGTCCTAATATAATATGACTTAATTTGCTTTCTTTTGTTGACTTGGCAGGCATCACTTCATCTCAAAGAGCTCAATCCTCAGTTTTTGCCCATTCCAGATCATGTTTCTCAAATATTGCCTGGGCCAAACTACGACTACTATTCTTCAATCATGCGCTTTATGATAACATCACCTTTGGTATGTAAATCATATATTACTTTTCTTTTCTGCTCCTGTTTGGCAATCTTCTGCTATAATCAATACAATTTTATTGAAGAAAGGTTTAGTATGTTTTACCTTAGTCGACTTGTTATCTTAGTTGACAATGTCATCATGTAGATCAAGTTTACTCGAAAGAAGCTAAGAAAATACTGAAAACAGTTCGGGGCTTTTTTCTAATGGGGAAGCTTGATAGTTTTGTTGAGCAGCTTTAGAAAAAGATGACCCCCTTAACAACTTTTCTAATGTATTGAGTTTCCTAAATTAACAAATTAATATTTTTTATTCTGTATTGAAGTTTGCATGTGTAGGTATGGATATCATAATTATAGGTAAAAGTAGCATAAACTTGGCATTCGTTGGTGCATAGTTTACACAACTAAATTTCTACACAATGAACTTCTCTTCTATTGGAATTGTGAAGTAAAGCAATGAGTTACGGGGGATCAGTTTTATCAGAATATGGCACTTTACGTATTCTCTCCTTGGCTGGTGACATCTTTTCCATATCTCTAGTTCAAGTGCTGGTTATTTGTAGACTCTCTGTAGTTAGTCTTACAAACTTCACTGCATCCATGAGGGTGACTATGCATTTATAACTTAGACCAACAATGTGGTAGATATAAGATAATATCTTTCATATGTATTGTATATGATCACCATGGATTAGTGTGCAATGTCCGGCTGATAAATTACGTTGTTTAAGGTATCAATGATTTGGGTGTTCTTTCATTGCTCTCTGTTAATAAATTTGCTAAATTTTTCATTTATTTTCCACAGATGCCAGATGCAATAGTTGATTATTATATATCAAATGGCAAATGGAATATTATTCAGCAACAGAATCTGCTCCACGAAAGAACAAGAGTTCTATATGGTTCAGCATCTTCTGTTAATGTCTTCAAAGACTTCTCTAGCTGCAATGCTGGAGAAGATCACTCGTGGAATGATCTCTCCGAGTATTATGCTTGTGAATATTATGATGTCTCTTCACATGATGGGGTTTTGGTTCCTTTGACCATAATATATTCTCATCATAGGAAGAAAAGCTCCAAGAGTCCTGGATTACTTCATGGACATGGAGCTTATGGTGAGATACTTGACAAACGTTGGCGCAGCGAACTGAAAAGCCTTCTTGATCGTGGTTGGGTCATTGCATTTGCTGACGTTAGGTTGTTATGGATCAGTTTATAATTTGAAGTGTTATATTTAACCTTTGCGACTCAGAAATCTTATTTTATCTATGCATTCATGAACTCTTAGTTGATTTTTTCTTAGCAAGACTTTCTCTCTATGTTTCAATTACTTGATATTTGTAAGGGTATCTTTGTTATAGCATTTTCTAATTTATGCATACCCGAAGAGAACTTGTTATTTTTCTATATAAGTGATTTAGGGAACTACTTAGCGCTTTTACCTATGATTCTCTTTATGGTTCTAATTTCCAGAGGTGGAGGTGGTGGGGGTAGAAAATGGCATCACGATGGCAGACGGACGAAGAAACTGAATTCTGTTAGAGATTATGTATCGTGTGCTAAATTTCTGGTTGAGGAGGAAATTGTGCAAGAAGGAAAACTGGCTGGATGGGGATATAGTGCTGGAGGATTGTTAGTTGCTTCTGCCATTAACTCTTGTCCAGATCTGTTTCGTGCTGCTGTTTTGCAGGCAAATTCTTCAATCGATTTACCATTTTTCTCTGTTGATGTAGTAATTTGCTCTGGCCGTATTGCTTTCATTTTAGTTGTAAACGTGCTGGAAATTTGGCAATACAAATCTTCTGTTAAGCTTTTGTTTTTAGGATGCATAAGTTGCTCATAATCCCATAATTGACTTCCTTCTGTTTCTTGTTCAGGTCCCCTTTTTGGATCCAAGTAGTACACTAGTGAATCCTATTTTACCGCTAACACCTGCCGACTATGAAGAGTTTGGGTACCCTGGGGATGCACAAGATTTTCAGGCTATACGTCAATACTCCCCCTATGATAATATTCAGAAAGACACACTGTATCCCGCTGTTCTGATAACATCATCTTTTAATACAAGGTAACTTCAACCCATTTTGTTGATTTCCTGCCCAGCCTCAAGACAATTTGTGTGTTGTTTAAATGAGAAAAATGTGGAATGTTTAGAGACAATAATCATTGAAATGTGTCACTGTTATACTCTGGGCACCTGGAGTTGTGATTTCACTCTCATTTTTAAAAAGTCATAGAACATGCATTTTCAAACATGTAGTTTTACATTTATCGGACCAAGCTTCAATATGTTCAGGTTCGGAGTCTGGGAAGCAGCAAAATGGGTTGCAAGAGTACGGGAATATTCTATATATGATCCTAGACGTCCGGTTCTGCTTAATTTGACAACAGATATAGTCGAGGAGAGCAGATACTTGCAGTGCAAGGAGTCAGCAATGGAGATGGCTTTTCTCATTAAGATGATGGATTCATAGTTACAAATACAACACATTATATGCTATTCCAGTTTCACCATGAGTATGCAAGTTGGTGGGATGTTTCATTGATGTGGAATATTTGGATCCCTCGTACTGGGGATCTGATGGGAAGAACTTTTGTTCGTTTTAATGAATTATGAATAGAG